GATAGCAATAGGTCACCTGAGTGACTCAGGTGACCTAAAAAGATTATGATGGTGATTTTTTGTGTAAAAAATATGGAGATAACGAACAGTATTCAAGCTCAAAACAAATACAAACAATAAACAATACAAAATAGGGGCAGGGCAAATACGGATCTCCAAAACATCTGAGGTGTGATCAGGTACCATGGAGGAGTGAGCATCCCCTGCCGACAGGTCACACCCGGCGTGTGCTCCTTGTCATGATCGGGAAATAACGGAAAATCCGTCGACAATTCAGTGTGTAAATAATGGTCTAACAATTAGTATGAAAAACGTCAGTCAACATTTGACTCAAATAATAAATTGTATTTGCTGACAAGGTCATTGTATCGACCACAGAACTTACGAAATGATGACTGTTTGCGATAAATAACGAATATTCTTGTTTTACGCTTTAATGTCCAAACATCAACATGTGCACATAACGAATAAACAACGTTTTTTACAATCTATATTTTACACCCCGAACCCGAGCCCAAAAAACAATGATAATATCAATTAATCTTCAGAACATTCTCCCCTCCTTGATTGCTTGCACATATCAACAAAATTACTTGATTTCGTTATGCATGATAGAAAATAATTCACATTAAAATGTCAAATACTGAAAAACATTTAAACAGTTCTTTCTACACAACACTTTTTAAAATGGTTCATCTAGTCACTAAATTCCAATGGACACAATTTGGTTATTGGGCGCGTAAATGTCTTTGGTCCAACCTTAACCACTGCAATTCGCACATGCCCATCTTTGCCAGAATGAACGTCCAAAACACGACCTAGTTGCCAATGTCCCCTAAGTACATTAGGTTCAATGACAAGCACAATGTCACATTTACATATATCTCTGCGAGTTTGAGTCCATTTTTTACGCACATTCAATCCTGGTAACCACTCACGCATCCATCGGTGCCAGAAGTGTCGTACAAGCTCCTGTATTCTTCTCCAACGTTTCCGTGGGTTGAACTCTGTGGTGTCTACAGTTTCTGGTGCAAACTGACCTCCAACCTGCCCATGCAGGAAATGGTTTGGTGTCAATGGAACATCATCGTTAGGGTTTGCTGATTGGTAAGTTAAGGGTCTGGAATTGATCAACGCTTCAGCTCCTACAAACGCCGTCATGAGTTCTTCATCTGTAACATCTGCTGATCCGATCACTGCATAGATAGCTCTCTTTGCTGCTTTAATCATTATTTCATGGACACCTCCAAAGTGAGGTGCAAGTGGCGGATTAAAGTGCCACATGACTCCAAGGTTTGCTGTAGACTGTTGAATTTTTCTGTGGTCCAATAAACCAACAAGTTCTTTGAGCTCATTGTTGCCTCCGACAAAATTAGTTCCATTATCAGATATAACTTCTTTTGGTAGGCCTCTTCTGCTCACCATTCGGTAAAATGTGTTAAGGAATGAATCTGTGTCAAGTCCAAAGGCTAACTCCAGGTGCACTGCCCTTGACATCACACACGTAAAAAGACATAAGTATCTTTTCTCTCTTCGTTTTCCTCGTCCTTGTTTTGTAATAAAAGGTCCTCCGTAATCTACTGCAGTACGAGAAAATGCATGCAATGGTTGTTTGGTGCGAATTGATGGAAGAGGACCCATCAGTTGCTCTGCTGGTTTGGCCTTGTTGCGACAACATTTCTTGCACTGTCGCTCCCATTTCCGAATTTCCTCTCTTGCGGATATAATCCAAAAACGTGACGAAATCATAGATAGAGTATGATTTGTTCCCGTTACATGTTTTCCTTTTTCATGGTAGTACTTGAAGATGAGAGTTGTGACACAATTGTTTCGAGGAAGAATGATAGGATACCTGACATCATAAGGTAAGAATTCTGCATATTTCAATCGTCCATCACATCTCAAAAGTCCGTCTTCATCAATCACTGGGTTCAAACACAATAACTTGCTGTTATGTTGGAGAGGTTTGTTTTGTTTCAGTAATCTGTATTCACAATGAAACTCGCATTTCTGGGCAGTCCTAATGATTTGAGTTTCTGCCTCTTCAATTTCTTCTGCATTCAATTCTCCTGGAAGTCTGTCCTTGATCTTCAGTCTGCAATTGTGTAGAAAGCGATTGACCCATGCTTGAACTCTGACAAGTCGTATCCAGCTGGAATAAGTTTCCGGGTTTAAACAACACTGAATATCTTTACAGTCAACTGTTTCTGTTAAGAACGAATATGAAAAATTGACAACTTCCTTGTTCGACTTCTTTTTCTCCATATCAGTGTCTTGCATTTCGACTTTCTGTTTTGGCCAATGAGATTCATCCAGATGAAGATAGTGTGGTCCACTCCACCAGACGTCATCTTCTTGTAACTGTGAAACAGACAGTCCCCTCGAAATCATATCTGCAGGATTTAATTCAGTTGGCACATAAAACCATTGCTTTGGATTTGAAGCCGACTGCATTTCTCCTATGCGATTCGCTACAAATGGCTTGAAACTTCTGCTTCGAGCTTTGATCCAACACAAAACATTCATGCTGTCAGTCCAAAATGAACACTGTTCAATGTCCAATTCTAAGGCACTTGTGACAGATAGAGTCAGTCTGGTTCCCAAAACTGCACCCATCAATTCCAATCTAGGTATGCTTACTGCTGTTAGTGGTGCCACTTTGGATTTTGCTGTGACGAATCTAACTGACACACTTCCATGATGATAGATACATCTCTGATAAACTACAGCACCATATGCATCTTGTGATGCATCAACAAAGGTATGTAGGTAAGTAGATACAACTTCACCATGACACAGACGAAGACATCTCGGTACCGAAATAAGTGATAGCTCTGTTAATTCATTAAACCACTTCTCAGCTTTCGTTACAAGTCCATCACTTAGTGGGTCATCCCAATCAAGACCTGCGGTCCACATTTCTTGCAGTAGAATTTTAGCTCGTATTATATATGGTCCAAGAAAACCCAAAGGATCGAACAGCATTGCAATTTTTCGCAGAAAGTTACGCTTTGTATAGTCAAAATCACCCTCGGGTGGACTTGCTTTGAAGGTAAAAATGTCATCTTTAGCTTTCCATAACACTCCAAGGGTTTTCACTGATGGTAGGCTGTTATCATGCAGATCCACTTCAGGAACAACATCCTCTGGTGGAATATGCTTCAATACACTCACTGAATTTGACAACCACTTTCTGGCATACATACCAGCTTTTCTCCATAATGCTGATAACTGTGAGTAGAGCTTAACCCCATCTTCCTCACTCGATACAGAATCCATACTGTCATCCATGTATGTGGATTTCATAACAGTTTCTACAGCCATGGGATAATTTTCTCTGTTTATCTCAGCATGTGTCTGTGCGACAAGCTGTGCTTGAAATGGTGACGAATTTATCCCAAACACAACACTGCTAAATTCATACACATCTGGTCTCGCATCTAACATCATGTCACGCCACAAAAATCGCTGATAGGGTCTATTTTCCAGTGGAACCTTTATTCGAAGATACATTTCTGCAATGTCACACACTAGCGCCACACTGTTTCTTCTGAATCTAAGTAGTACATTAAAGAGCTCATTCTGAAGTTTAGGGCCACAATGAATCATGTCGTTTAATGAAACACCACCATGCTTAGCTGATGCATCAAATACAATGCGTGTCTTTGTCATGGCCTTGTCTGGTCGAATAACAGGAAAATGTGGAAGATACCATGTCCCAGATTTCTCCTCATTGCAGTAAATTTTGTGTATATATCCTTTTTCACGTACTGTTCAATAGTCTTTGAGTATGAATCTCTCACTTCCTTGTTCCTCATCAATCGCTTTTCCGTGTTTTCTAATCTTTGAAGTGCCATGTCGTAATTATTTGGTAGATTCCGTGCATCTTTCTTCCAAGGTATAGCGACTTCATAACGACCCTCTACAAACTTTAGCGACTCCTTCACTTTTGAGTACACGATTTGCTCCTCTGGACTGAACAACTGTTTCTTTGGTTCACTGAATCCTTCTATCTCCCAGAATTTACACAAAATTTTGTCTGTTTCATTTTCACTCCTCTGATTGTGGAGGAAGTAAGTTCTGTTAAAATGAGTCTGAACACATATCTCACTGCCACCATAAATTTTCCCCACACAAGTCCATCCCAATGGAGTAAGCCTAGCTACTGGTTCATTAGGTCGACCTCTGATTTCTCGATAAGCATAGTGAAGTTCACTGTTGTCCATTCCAATTAATATGTCCACTAATGGATGTTTACCATTCAAGTCCTTTCAAATGATTCCACTTGTGTTGATACTCTTTCCAATTCACTACACACATATCACCAGTAACTTTGCTGTTAAGGCTTCCACTTTGGTTTTAATCTTGCCATCAATGCTTTCTATTTGGAATTCTACAGGCATTGTTTCAAATGACTCAGTTTTGTTATTTAGAACTCCGACTGTCACTCTTTGCAATTTACCATGTAGGCCTAATTCTGCTGCAACATCTGAGTTGATGTACGTTCGCGTACTGGCATCATCCAGCAATGCATTAATTCTCACTGTCTTTGACCCATTTCTCACAATAACTGGAATGGTTCTCAATGCAATGAACTGTGGCTCCCCTCCATGACATGTTAAAGTTCTGTCTTGATTCACCAATCTCTGGGTATCAACATTATTGTTTACAACAGAATTAACTGAGGAGTTCTGTCTCCGAGTGTCTTTAGGTGGGCAAAATTCTGGAGCATTTCGGTTCAACACTGATGCAGATTGGACATGCTGATACCTGTTTGCACTCTGGTTTATATTTTGACTTCCAATGTGTAGTAGTCTATGATGCGTTTCAGAACGATTGTCAATACTGCAGGGTCGACTCCTCCTACATGAACTTCCAAAATGACCTGACCCCAAACAACGATAACACAACTTTGACTGACGAACAAAATTCCATTTTTGAGACACATCAAGTTTCTTAAACTGCTCACAAGACCAGATACCATGTTGTCCTTGACACATCTTACACACTTTTGGTAAGTTCTTAGTGTTTCCAAAGAATGCTCTTTGATGTATACGATTACTGACACACTTTTTTCCATCCAAATTACTGTTTGAATCCACTTGTAAACCATAAACAGTTTCATTTGCAACAGTTCAGAATTCAGATTCCTGTGTAATCCACTCCCTTAGAGTCTCCACTGACTCTGTCTTTTGCTTTTCGAACACCCATCTGTGATATGTAGATAACATTGTCTCTGGAATTTTCTTTTGTAGTTTGACATACAAAGAACCATTTTTAAGTTCATCTGTCCTTCCTGCCTCCTTGAGGTTGACAACAGCCACATCCAGTATGTCTGCAAATTTCTCGAGATCCTTTGAATTCCCAGCCCGAATCGGTCGAAACAAGTCTAACTGTTCTAGGTGACGCATAACTTGTCGTCTCTGGCCTCCAAACTTTCGGTCAAGGCGATCCTTTGCTGCTTCATAAGCAAATGCAGAGTGTCCAAGGTGTTCTACAGCCTTCAGAGCCTCACCAGATAGATATTGTCTCAGCTGTAATAATTTATACTCTGGAGTTGCTGGAGCTTTGTCTATGCATGCAGCAAAGGCTGCTTTCCAACTTTCATATGTACGTTTGTCACCAGAAAATACAGGCACTGACACTCTTTTCAATTGTTTCCACATGTCATTACCAATTGTAGGCTGATTTATGGAATTGTTACTATTTTGTTTCCCAGTTGAAAATGGCATATATACATTTTTATCATTATCCATACCTACATTGATGATACTATCTGTTTCCGGATTGTCAGTGTCACAGTAACCAACACTCTCTTCCTCTTGCATCCTCTGCACTTCATTTTCTGCTTGCTCGAGTTCTTTGTATCCTTCTTGAATGGTTTCGTTTAATTGTTCTAATTGTTCTCGCTTTGCTTTAAATTCTTCCTCTAAAATTCTTTTAGCTTCTTCAACCTTCTGCACCTCCTCCCGAATTGTGTCTGCTCTTTTCCTAGCTTGGATTTCCTCTTCATTTAAGAGGTTTGAGCTGCCTCGTAGAGACCCTGTGTTAATGCTTGATGCCTCGCTTCGCCGTGCATCTAAATAGTCCTGTACTCTTTCTTGACAATTTTCGAATGCTTCTTCTATAAACTCAATTTCTTGATTTGTTTTTATTAAGTTTTTTGTGTCACTTGCCTTTTTGTATTCTGCAGAGAGCGACAGTAAATAATTCATGATAGGTTCCTGTAAATCAATCAACTTTTGCCTCGCTGTACGAAGTTCTCTGCGACTAGGTAAATCTTGATCCAATAAATTTAATAAATGGTGTTTAGCTCGAGTGAACTGTGACTTAACTTTTGTCTTCTCACGTTCTATATCGTCCAGGTCTGGTTTTCCCTCCGATGCTTCAGCGACGTCTCGAGTCAACTCTACTTTCGTTTTCTCCCGTTTCATTTCTTCGAAGTTTGTTTTTTCGTCCTTCTCCTTGAATTGTGCTCCTGAGGCTTCCGAAACGTTTTCTTCTTCTTGTTTGTTTGCCATAACCACGCTCTGCTACCATTTGTTTGCGATAAATAACGAATATTCTTGTTTTACACTTTAATGTCCAAACATCAACATGTGCACATAACGAATACACAACGTTTTTTACAATCTATTTTTTACACCCCGAACCCGAGCCCAAAAAAAACAATGATAATATCAATTTATCTTCAGAACATTGACTTTAAACGAGACTGTTTCATCAACTTGTTTGTCAATCTAAAATGTTGGAAAATGCACTATTTGGAGCCATTTTTAAAGAAAATTTCTAGAGGGAGCCCCCCCCCCCCGAACCCCCACCTATGGGATGGGGACCCTATATGTGTGAAGAGTCTATAACTAAAATTTCATGGTGGAAGGTTAATATTAACAAAAGGCCAATGGGCCACAACGCTCACCTGAGTAACTTTGGCTCTGTTGTTCTTCATCTGATTTTCCCACTTGTAATACCTATTGTGGCCCTGCACTCCCCATGGGGGTCATGATTTGTACAATTTAGAATCTACACTACCCCAGGATGCTTCCACACAAGTTCAGCTTTTCTGGCCCATTGGGTCTTCAGAAGATTTTTAAAGATATTTTTCTACATATTTCAATGTAAAACTTGGGTTCCCTGTAGTGGTCCCGTCCTACCTCTAGGGGTCATGATTTGAACAATTTAGAATCTTCAGTATCCCAGGATGCTTCCACATAAGTTTCAGTTTTTCTGGCCCAGTGGGTCTTGAGAAGATTATTCCTATGAATTTCAATGTAAAACTTGATTCACTATTGTGGCCCCACCCTACCCCGGGGGTTATGATTTGAATCATTTAGAATCTACACTACCCCAGAATGCTTCCTCATAAGTTTCAGCTTTTCTGGCTCAGTGATTCTTGAGTAGAAGACTTTTCCTATAAATTTCGATGTAAAACTTGGAATCCCTATATTGTGTCCCCGCCCTACCCCCCGGGGGTCGTGATTTGAATCATTTAGAATCTCCACTTTCCTAGGATGCTTCCACATAAGTTTCAGCTTTTCTGGCCCAGTAATTTTTTAGAAGATTTATCCTACATATTTCAAAGTAAAACTTGGATTTCCTATTGTGGCCCGGCCCTACCTCTGGGGTCATGATTTGAACAATCTAAAATCTACAGTACCCCAGTATGCTTCCACATAAGTTTCAGCTTTTCTGGCATAGTGGTTCTTGAGAACAAGATTTTTAAAGATATTTTCTACATATTTCAATGTAAAACTTGGATTCCCTATTGTGGCCCCACCATACCCCCGGGGGTCATGATTTGAACAATTTAGAATGTACAGTACCCCAGGATGCTTCCACATAAGTTTCAGCTATTATTGTCTTTTCTTGGTTATCTCCCCTTGAAGGGTACAAGTAAATTCGGCATCTTGTGAATTCGGCACCAAAAGAAAAAAAGTGAATTCGTGAAATCACTTTACTTGGTGCAGAGTTGAGTTCACCAGGTGCCGAGTTGACTAGAATTCCCCTTTGAAGGGGACCTGGCCCTTTACTTTAACAATTTAAACTCTCCTTTAAAATTGACCCAGTCGTTCTTGAGAAGTTGAAAATGTGAAAAGTGTACAAACGGACGGACGGACGGACAACGGGTGATCAGAAAAGCTCCCTTGAGCTTTCAGGCTCAGGTGAGCTAAAAAGAGAAACGGTAAATGGATAAGATACCCAAAAATACACATATATCTGGAAACGGATGCCTCGAATGCTGGTTGGGGTGCAAATTTAAAAGTTCTTACAGGTGATAGATGGACAAAAGCTGAATCTTTATTGCACATAAATGTTCTAGAAATATTAGCCATTAAATTTGCATTACTGAGTTTATGTAATCAAATTGAAGATTCTCACATCTACATAAGATCTGACATTAGGTCAGCAGTCAGTTACATAAATAATGAAATAATGAACGTGGTTCAGTGATATCTTTATTTAGGATTGCGAAAGAATTTTTTCTGTACTAGTGTGATGTAAGAATATTGTAATTTCAACAGTTCATATAGCAGGAAAAGAACAATGTTACTGCAGATTATTTATCAAGATCATTTAGTGACTCCACAGAATGGAAACTGAATGAAAATATTTTTGATCACATTTGTGAAGCATTATTTATCCTGATACATTGTATAGATTTCTTTTCCTATAGATTGAATAACCAGATAATTATGTGTCGTGGTTTCCAGATCAAATGGCAATCACATCTAATGCATTTTCTATATCTTGTACTGAATTTAAACCTAATATTTTTCCTCCTTTCAGTTTAATTGGATTGATTGTATGTTCTCTTACATCCCATTTGAGAATTCTTCTCTCATATAGAGACGTCACAATGTTGAAGGGCTTCAAATTTGTTTATACTACAAGAAAATTACCACGAACGACTTAACGATTATTCAATCGAGGCGAAGAAAATTAAATTGCTCGTTTAAAAGTCGATGTTGAAATTATAAAATAATCTTGATCCTCTGAAGTCGGTTACGTAAGGTTTTACCAAAGGTCAACATGCCCAAAAATTTATTTTTACAACAGTTCCAAAACTATAGGAGGTATAAAGTTAAAACTTTTACAGTTTATAAATACATCATTGATTAAGAGATAGAAAGTATCACTTAAAAACAAATATTTAAAAAAATATATTTTTTGAGAAAAAACAATTTCAAAAAATTTGCATATTTTTAAAAAATGCACATGCTTAATTCTGTACTTTTAGTGAAAACCATCATTGAAGAAATACAATATATGTTTATCAATGAAGGGCAAGTTGGACGTGAATGGTCTCTGAAAGGCTGTTATTGAAAGCATGACATGTATAAAGACAAGACCCCTTTAAAATCCGCCATTTGCAATGTACTTTCGGTTTCAAATCTTAACATTTGGATAAAATAAACAGGGAAAACAACGTTCCAGAGGCTATCGAAGTCCAACTTGCCTTTCATTGATAAACATATATTGTTTCTGCAATGATGGCTTTCACTTAAAGTACGGAATTAATTAGGTGTATTTTTAAAAAATATCTGCATTTTTTGAAAAGAATTTTTCTCGATAAATACTTTCTTTAAGTATTTGTTATCAAGTGATACTTTCTATCTGTTAATCAATGATATATTTATAAACTGTAAAAGTTTGAACTTTATAAACCACATAGTTTTGGAGCTATTGTAAAAATAAATTGTTGGACACGTTGACCTTTGGCAAAACCTTAATGCTATTAGCAATTTCTTCTTTCACTATAAAGAACTCTTTATTATCGAGTCCAAAATCCTCTTTTGAAGCCTTTGGAAAAAAAAAAACAAACTCAGTAACCCATTGGGTTTGTAAACATCGGACAATCTGAGAGGTATGTTCGTCCGCCCGAAAACGCGTTCGCCCTTGACGCCGTTCGCCCTCACTTTCGTTAGCCCAGAGTCCGTTTACTCTAAAACTCGTTTGCCGAAAGTCCGTTCGCCCATAATATGTTAAGTCGGTTAATTTT